AGAGGACGGTCAGAGTAACGCAGAACTGGATCCGTCATATTCAAATAATGGGAGATAAAAATATGCAAAGAAACACGCAGACCTATTAAAATAAACCTACAAACGACGTGGAAGTGCTTAGTACTATAGTCCTTCAAAATGTAAAGGTCGTGGGTTCAAATCTCGACTCGGACACCAACTATCTGTCTAGAGATTTATCTTTATTTTCTTCAGTCCTTCATGAATAATTCTCGATAATACCTTGGATAGTCCAAAATCGTTTCCTTCCACATCCCTTCCAATTCATTGTTCACTAATCAGACATTAATTTGGTGCTATATTATCTGAACAATTGAAAGCGTCGTCTCGAATACAAAGGATATTCTTCGTGAAGGATTCGTAGTGAAACATTTCATGGTACTGCCCATTGGCCGGGGTTGCTAAATTATTTTTTGAAGCAGTTGTAGCCCTTAACGGGTAGTTTCGTAGGAATTGAGGAAGGTTTCGAAGGTCATTATTGACTCCATCATCAGGACGATTTGCCGTGGTGATGGGAATGTGTGGCAAGGATCTCAGAAGGCTAGTAATACACGAAGGAGACATTGAACAGGTTTTTAAAATAACGGAACTTAAAAAGGTCGCAGAAAATGTACTGCTAACGTATAATAGGTTTGGAAGCGCACGAATGAAATTCTGATGGGACTTAGAAAATTTAACGACCAAATAAATGCAAACTGCAAACCCAAAGTATAATGGAAGACATACTTGATTACTATCAATGAAATTGAAAAAAAAGTGCTCTAAACCTACTGACGAAAAAAGAGAGATTGTCCCAGAAAGAGATTCTTGAACTAGAGTTGATGGGAGAAACTTCGTCACTCTAAAATTCAATTAGTTAAAGAAAATGTGTGTACTCTGCAACCATGGACGGAATTAGTCTTTCGTATTTGTCTTGGTATCAGAAAGAAATAGCTAGTCAAAGGGGGTGGAGGACAAGGTAAATACTATAAATTACAAATATTTAACACGTTTTATGATTCCATAGCAAAGAGTTACCTTTCAGTGGTTAAAGTTTATTCACCTGGTTAAGAAATTCCTTCTAGTTACAGAATCTGATCGTTTATGACCACAATCAAAAAATTTTGCCATATTACCTTGTTCCGAGTCGATTCACATCTTCATGATCAGAATATATGATGAACGTGATATGATTCTTCTTCCACCTGTACATATTTAAAAAAAATTATAACGAGTTTTGTGTCATCCAAATCTTATCTTGGTCACGAATTACACACATTTTAATTTCGCGTCACATTAACCTCAATTTCAGACTTAATTATTTGCATTTGCTGAAAAGAACTTACTTGAAGATTTCTTTCTTCTGGGTTATTGCGCCGTGTAGTCTGGTAGATGTTTACCAACATACCAGGGCGATGAACTTACTTAATATGTAATATCATAGCCCGTTGTTATAATTAAGAAACTATATTTGGCCTGAGGCTACTTAAAGGTTACGCATGCCTGGTTTACAATACGGAAAAAAAAACAGATAGGATTAAGATAAGTCAGGGATTTTCAATATTTTTCACACATAAGACCACATCTGCCCTTCATTAATTTTGATATTTCACATTGCTTTTGTTCTAGTAATCTTTCGGTATAAGATTTTGTTTTTGTGGTTACAATTTTCATGCATCCCTCCAAGTGTTCATAAATGAGATATGTAGAACCTGAAGATGAAGAATTTGTAATCACCTACAAGTGTACGCAGCATCACCACTAACCCACGTTTCTTCATGACATTGTGCTTAAGCATTGGGACAACATTTTGATGACAATGGTGATAATGATGATAATAGTAATTGAAACAACAAAAAAGTGGTACTCTCATATGTCTGAGTCAGTTGATGAACACAAAGACAAAACTGTGGAATCAGGGATACAAACCGATTATGGTTCCGGCAAATTGGCAAATAGGTCAGGGATATTAAAAACACAAAATATCAAATTTGCTCACAGATGCATGTAACAATGCCACTGGATATGAATTTAATACAGAAAGAGACTGAAAATAATTAAAATCCAAGTTTTAAAAATATAAATTCTGTAAATATGGAATATGAAATGGTTCGTCATGCCAATAATTATTGGGGCTACAGTAATTGTAACTAAAAGGATTTCTGTCTTCTGGGTTGTTGCGCTGTGTAGTCTGGTCGGGGCCGGCTACTCCATTCACATTCCAGCACCTATAAACCTAGCCCCATACACCCTATTGGCACATTCATCGCCCTGATGACGGAGGCAGTATGACCTCTGAAACGTTGGTTAACATCGACCAGACTACACAGTGCAACAACCCAGAAGACAGAAATCTTCATACTCACCGCTCTGAAAACCCTTAATCTTACATAAAAGAATAAAAATATTTGGAGACAATACCAATAAATCCTTGAATAGATTCTATACAAAAACAACCGTACTGGGAACATCATATAAAGAAAATGTTACAATCAGGAACTTGATGCTTGGGTTCACCATTGGTTCAAGAAGAAATGTAACATGAATATCCTGTGAAAAGAGAATAAATAAGAATAATAATAATTGTAATATTAAACCATCGCAGTGGTTATCCAACTATTTTAAAATTTGCCTTTGGTTTGAAGGGTCCCATGGCCTCTGAGTGGTGTCTGAAGGTTGTTTTCATTTTCAAACCTTTTTTTTTTGTAGTAGGTTGTTTTAGACTGTTCTTTCTTTATGTTGTAATTTGCAGGGGAAATAAGGCCCTTCAATGTTTTCATTATATTTCAAACAAACATGACTTTCTCATGAAAATAAATCACCTTGCTATTGCATTATATTTGTATTACAGATCACTATTAGATGTCTGTCTCATGTGAAAATATTTTTGATTGCCATTTCTTAAAACGTAGTATTCAATGTGTACAATGTGCACTGGCTAGGGAAACTGGTACACAGAACGAGAGCTCTTTCTCTGGAAGCACAGAACAGTACCTTCACGAAAACAAAAAATATGCTTTTACCTAAGTTTCTAGACATCCATTCTTGTTCTTGATTCTTCCATGAAAAATATATCACTTTTAATATTTCGAATGTTATCAGAATCATAAAAAGCAATTCTCCCCTTGACACATCTGAGCATCCTAACTTTTCTTTTTAGGTTATGTTAGTGGTAAGACCAAAGGTTTTCTGGTGGTCCTTTTCAGTTAGCCCTCATATATGAGCTGAATCCACTGATGTCAACAAGTAGCTAGCTAGTAGGTCAGGATTACCAGTCATGCACTATACAATGATTCACAGCCTTAAATACTGATAAACATTAGCTTATGTGAGTCTTAAAATTTCTGAATATTATAATTTTTTTATAGTGTTTGAGCCATACAATTTCAATGTAAATTATTAAAATGCAATTTGCTTACTTTGATGCTGCTGTCTTGCATTTGCTATTGCAAGGGATTGATTGATTGATTTTTTTTTAATTTTAAACACAGGATAATTCATTCAGCATGAATTTACTATAAAGCTGCAGTTAATTATAAAATACTTCATTAAATTTTTAATATCATATTCCATACAAAAACTTTTCCCTTATCCTGATGATATAGCCCATACCACAAAATCAAATTATATAACGAATTTAAGCAGACGGATAGTTTGTGTGTTATTTCCTCAGTGTCAAAATTTGTTGCTAATAAATTCATACTTTGATCTTCTAATTTTAACTTTACTTACATTCAAAGTTTCTTTCCCTTGAAGTGTTTTGTTGTACTTATTAATACTGAGGAAGCCTTCCTCAGTTATACGAGTATGAAGAGTCTTCGTTCTGATGCAGTCCCTCTTATGATTGCCATATTAAATTTTAAGTACCTACTTGATACATAATTTTCAGTCTGGGTGATCCCTGATGTGTAAAGATTAAGCAATAAAGTCTTCTGAGGTGATCAGCAATACTAGTTTGAAACAAATTTCCAGCTTTGAGAATATTTTATGTGCCTTCATTACAAAGCGAAGAGACCAATTGGGAGATCTAGGCATAGATGGGAAGATAATATTAAACCGGATATTACAGGGATAGTATAGGAATATAATCTGAATTCAGCTTGTTCAAGAAAAGGACGAGCGATAGTCTTCAATGAAAATGATGAACATTCAGATTCCATAAATATAGGAAACTTCTTTATCAGTTGAATGACTATCAGTTTCTTAAGAATAGTCTCTGTCATGGAGATACGTTACTTGAATCTGCGATGTATTTTTCCCTTGTTAATTCAGTATACCAAAATTTCCATCTGTTCTCTTACAACTGATTATGCTGTGAGCTCCTTGTACCAGTGTCAGGCTGTCCCACCACCTCTTGACGTCTGTCATTCTCCTGGAGGACCAGTCACCATCACTTACTTGTGTCTTCTTGCCACGGACCTCGGGCAAAAGTCTCCCTGCAGAAAGTCCAGCTTTCTCAGTTGTATTGCCGTAGAATAATAAAATAGATGTGGAATTTAGAATGGGAATAGAGTGCTTCAGTTCTTTAACAAAAATTCTAAATTTAACAGAATTATCTTCTGTGTATTTTATTGAATTTGTTTGTGTGAAAGTACTGCAGTGATTCTTATTCTTCTTTACTTGCCAGACACTCGCAACAAATGAGCGTGCTTGGAGTAGTTAATACGTAGGGTTCGTCTTGTGTGCTTGATTGACATCACCAATATCAGAATGTTTGAAAAAAATGTGGTTTCTGGAGCGCAATGTAACTTACACTCTATTTATTTATTTTTTTATGGGTTATTTAAAGATGCCATCAGAAGTTCAGACTATATTACATCTTTAAACGATAAGCCGATTAATGAACGATGAATTGGAAAGGATGTGGAAGGAAACTTTGTTAGTTCTTGGCTGTCAAACTTCTAACAAGCATGTTATCATCTAGTCGCATCTGTCTGCATTAAGAATGCTCTGAAAATGTGATTACAGCCTGCTGAAGTAGGTAACAGACTAAAAACATGGAACTATATACATATTTATGTATTTTCAAGCATAAAATAAGTGTTACAATGACAGATCTTGAAAATACTGGATTTACATTTTAATAAATTGCTTTCAACAATAATATAAATTAAATGACTAATGAATGGACAAAGCAGACACTTAATTTTCAAGTTAAACACCACAAATCCTTCAACTTATGCTTAGCAGCTTGCAGAATACTGCGTGTATGCTCTATGAGAAAATATGGGTACATTTTACTAAGTATCTAACTAGCATGTTGTAGGTTTGTCCACCATATGCAGGCCAAAACATTTAAAAAAAAATAGTGACATAATTCCTTCACATAATATCTTATTAAAGTTTCTTTAAGTCACCACACTATTTTCATATTAAAATTTCATAAAGTTTTCTTTCAGTAAAATGCAATCATGTACAAAATGAAACACAGCACTCATATCTCTGAAAACTTTAAAATTGGAAAGATTTTATGGTTAGTACATCTTCATAGTGTACAAGTCTGCCAAACGCTCTGCTTGAAATAGCAATATACATTTTTTTTAGCATTTTCATACCAACTCCAAGATATATTTTTCCTCACTAAATTTTAGGCTGCCACAGCAGGTACTGTGAAGATCACAGCCTTCTGGAATATTGCACTGCGCGGTCTCATACAAGTTGTCTCATGTTCTAGAGGTGTTTACTCCCTCCGTCATGAGAGTGATGAGTAACGTGATGAACACTCATTGTCCTAATGTTGAAAAGAGCAAGCACCTATGAAATGTCAGTGAATTTCTATATGACAACATCATCATGCTTCCCAGAAGACTGTCATCTTAATTTTTCCTCAACCCTTCCATTTGCAATGAATGTCAAAAAAGGAAGAAAGATTAGACCCACATTTATAAAAGGGTAATCAGTTTTCTTAATGTGGAATGCATAATTTTCCTTTTCAGAATTTTAATTAGTTTCTTCTAATTAGTCTTCAGTGACTAATGTACAGCTGTTGCAGTTGAAATCAATCACAAAAGCATGTTGAGCATGCACGGGTAATTCTGTCGGTACTGCAGTATGCTGTGCTAAGGCTCTCTGTGTATCCAGCTTGCAACTGGGCACTATTAATAGAGAACCAAAGATCATTATAAAAATATTATACAAAAAGTATAGTCCAAAGTATATTCATAAAAAGGGGTGTGGAAATGTGGACAGGATTAAGTTGGCCCAAAACAGGATTCATGGTGCGCTTTCAATATTGACTTGACAACTCCTTAGGGTGCATAAATTAACAGATATGATGATCTGTGACGACAGCACCATTCCTTTAAAGCCTAGTGGTAACTATATGTACCACATGCTATAAAAATCATTATCTCTGAATTTTGTATTTGTGTGTTTCACATGATTCCCTCTGCAAACAGAAATTGTTTCCATAGAAAGAATTAACAAACTGGTGTTTATAATTGAGAAATTTGTATTTCTTTTAGTACAGACTGATTTCTTAAATATTATTTAGATGAGGTTCAGGTTCAAAGGGTTTTAATGATAGTAAAACAAAATCCAAGCACAACTGAAGACAGCATGTGGAATAAAATTTAAAATCCTTTTATTAAGAAAAGTGCTGCTTTATAAATGAGTACAATTTTTTTTGAGCATTTTATCCTGGACTTAGTTTCACTTAATCTGGTAATCACTGTCTTAAGCTATAAATATTTTTATTTACAAAGGGCACAAACCCCAATTTAGGGATGTGGGGAATAGTCAGATGATGGGTAGTAACGGGAAACAGATGCGAGTATACCAAAACTATACCAAGCACTGGGATGGTTTAGTGCCCATTCATTCATTCATTCAAAGACCATGGGTACAGCTACTGATCATTTAACATAATAGATGAATTACTGTAGTAATTAAAGGAATTTGTGTTTACAGGGAGAATATAAAATGAGATAACATGGATTTTAGAGCAAGAGAGGTCTTGAAAAAAGAACAAATAATGTAGAAATTTTTCAGAGATGATAATTTGTTTGTAGACGTTGCATGTAGCTGAACGTATATATAGACCAAGAGACACTTCAGTATATTCCAGACTGCCAAATTAAAATTCCTGATAAGCATGAGTGGAATAACTAGGACAAGGGCAGTATGGTACTTAGAAAATGGAGTGTTTTGGTTTTCTGACATGGCATTGGTAGTATATAAATGTGGGCTATGAACCAAAGATAAACATTTATAAATCGAGAATAATAGACAATTACAAACCAATTTTGAGCCACAACATACTGATGTCACATTTTATAATTTTCCCTCAAGAGTAAACACTGTCATAAAAGTATTGTCTCCTAGTTTTGTTGAAGAACGTGAACACTTAACAATCATGCATCTATTCCACCTTAACCTTATGATTTACCGACAGTTCCACAAATATATAAATTAGGGAGTGAATGTTATTTATCTTCCTTTACCAAATTTTTATGTACTTAAAACTGTGTACTGATAGCACTCTATTGTCTTCCAAAGATAATTTCCACTGTAATGTGCAACTTTCAAAATTATTCGCACACTCGTACCACCACACTAGTTTGCGTACTGCTATCGCCCATTCTGTCCCTTGACACATTCGCCAGCATGCTGTCTGTGGGGATTCAAATCCCCTGCGCCAGCCATTTTTCATCACAGGAATGCATTCAACATGAATAGAAAAACCTAAATAACTTGGAAAATTATTGAAGTAATTGCATGAAATTTTCAGGTTACGTTTAATAATTATTTAGCATTTGATAACCTGTTTATCAATTCACTTGCATGTAAATGTTTCACTTTTCACACTTCACATCAACCAGCACACGAGGCAATCGCTAAAGGAACAAGAAAAAATATATACTGCATTTGAGTGACATCTCTAGGAGCCATGAGCAATTACATGTACATCAGTACTTGAATGACGATCGGCATATTTGCCACTGGCGGTATGATGTAACGAGAATGTCGTTTCGATGTGGTTGGCAGTGAGTGTGTTAATGCACATTTCTAAAAGTCTGGCAATTATTTCCTGCCACATTAATATGTCACAGGTGTATGAATTCTGAACTGCATAAATGTGCAGGTCAGCATCTGTCCTTGAAATAATTCATTGTTCATTTCTCCCACAAAAGTGTTGGGCATATTTTCATTAGAGAGAATAATAATTTTATTTACCAGTTTCATCAGATCCAGAATGTCTTCTGTTCATGGCATCTTTGCTACAAGCCATGGAAGTTTTCCTGTTTTCTTGAAGGACCAGTAGTCGTAAATCAGCTTTCCAATCACAAGGACAATGAGGGAAGCCAAGATGGCATTTAGTAAGTCCAGTGGTTGGATTAAGTATTCGCTGGGTTCACTGCAAACAGCGCTTCTGGACAAAGCCTGAATCTGCAAAACATCAAAAAGATTTGCTTCAAATTAACCCGTTTAAGATCCTTTTTACTAATATTTCATATTTATGATCAGGTCTTTCAAGTATTCTTGTCGCCTCACCTTTTTTGACCAAAATGTTTTACACATTTTTCATTACCCCATGCACAATTCATGTCCCACCCACCTCATTAATCTTAATCTGATAAACCTAATAATATATGGTGAACATTACAAGGTAATTCGCTCCACTCGCCTGATTTAAATATTCTCCTCAGGGCCTGTTCTCAAACACTATACCCTGTCTACATTCTTACATAATAGCATGTGACCAAGTTCTACACCCATTATGGACCAACCAACCAACCAACCATCTTCATGAAGTAGGCCCCTCTTGAGAATTTAATGGTACACTTAACCACACAAGAAATTCTTTGCCTGTTGTGTAACCTGAATGTTCATTGCTGTGTTTACAAGAGCTCGTCACTAGTCCCTATCCAGAGACAAATGAATCCAGTCCACATTTCCAAACCGTGCTTCCCTAAACCCATTCCAAAATTAGTTTTCCAATATTTTGATCACCAGATTTTGTATCTGAAAACAACCCACATTAAGAGATAAACCTCAGTCTTAACATGGTTTTACTTTTTACATGCACCTTCGTGGTGGTGGGGCTTGAGTACCTCAGTGACCCGAAGAGCTACTGGTAGGGCCTCCCTAGCCAGATTGGTCGAGGGGGAGAGGTCAGACTAAGACAGTTACCCTTATCCTCCAGGTTGGGGGTTGGTTACAAGGCTAACAACCTTGCACCGTAAAAAGAAAGATTTTTCGAAACCTCAATCAAAGCCTCGGACAGACGGACCTAACAGAGGACCGAATGGAAGAGGAGAATTGAGGAGGCCATGGACCGAATACGGACCGGAGAGCCATAGAAGAAGGAGAAGAAGAAGGAGAAGACGAAGAAGAAGAAGAAGACGAAGAAAACGACGAAGACGACGAAGATGAAGGAGAAGGAGAAGGAGAAGGAGAAGGAGAAGGAGAAGGAGAAGGAGAAGGAGAAGGAGAAGGAGAAGGAGAAGGAGAAGGAGAAGGAGAAGGAGAAGGAGAAGGAGAAGGAGAAGGAGAAGGAGAAGGAGAAGGAGAAGGAGAAGGAGAAGGAGACGGAGACGGAGACGGAGACGGAGACGGAGACGGAGACGGAGACGGAGACGGAGACGGAGACGGAGACGGAGACGGAGACGGAGACGGAGACGGAGACGGAGACGGAGACGGAGACGGAGACGGAGACGGAGACGGAGACGGAGACGGAGACGGAGACGGAGACGGAGACGGAGACGGAGACGGAGACGGAGACGGAGACGGAGACGGAGACGGAGACGGAGACGGAGAGAAGAAGAAGAAGAAGAAGAAGAAGTGGTGGTGGTGGTGGTAGTAGTGTACAGGATGATAAAGTATAAGATACAGCCTCTCCCATGAGATGCATAGAAGTTGCACTGTCATATATATATGTGTGCTTACGTGTTTGTTTATAGTTTAAGAAGGGATCGACCAATTTGCCACAGATTTTGCATACTTTAGTCTTGAAGCAAGGGAAAGATATTAGAAAGGTGAAGACTACAAAAAAGTATTCTGGGTTCTAGACCTGGTGAGGATGGTTTCTGTAATCTGGAAACTAAGTGCAGTCTTCAGAATAAAAATTGTTTTGTTTTTGCAAGGAGATTTACAGAATCAAGGGACACAAATCTGAAAACTGTCCTCTTTTCATTCCCAATGAGAATGTTTTCTGTACTTTGGAAACTAATGGTGCGTGTACACAGATAACAGTGAAACTGCTTTGGTTGTTTCATGAAGGAGATTATAGAAACAATAAAAGCATATTTGTTATTATCTTTTACAATTAAGGCAATTTGTTTAGGTCACCTAAAATGTAAGGTTATGTAATGTTGTTGCAAAGTTGAAATATCGGTATATAACCATGGCCCGTGCTTGCAGTTGTGACAACCATTTTAATAACGGTATTTCACATTTTCCTTACGCTTATCAAAACTGTACCACTTTGTCACGTGTATAAGCATGTATGAATGTGCGATTATCATATAGGATATTTAAGTTGCAGGCTAATTTAAATATAAATACACAATTTTTTAGAAACCAATATCAATCATAAACAATAAGGTACCAAGAATTAGAAATTATTTGAGAACGTTTCATCACGGAAGTATCTGGCAATAACAAAATACACCAGAAATGAGGATCATGATAAAGTCAGGAGACGAATAAGTAATGGAATTATTTTGTTACTCTCCACTGCGATAACTTATTATCCTGTCTACTTTCAAAATGCTGAAGATGAGGATAGTTTTCTCTCGTACTTTAAATGCTTGTAAAATGGGATCTTAAACATGTGTTTTCAAACAAGGCACTCAAAAAAATATTTTGACCTAAGAAGTTCGAGTAAATGGACAATATTTAATATTGTGTCACCAGGAAGTTCCTGAGTTATACAGGACACTGAGTATTATTGTGATGGTTAAATCTGAAAGGATGTGATGGTCTGAGCAAGTAGACAAAGAATGTAAACAAAATTTTAGTTGGGAACATTCTGGAAGATTGAGAAGGAAATAAAATGAGCTTAAGATGAATCTTAAAAGAAATACATTATGAGGATGGAAGTGGCTCAGAATTCTGTCCACAAAGAATAAGCAAGTGAGAGACATTGTTATTTGAGACAATAGAATGGTATCTTCGAAAACGTCATTAAAACTTTGTTTAGAAACCAACCCAATTAGTCATACTATCATCTTTGTATCTCCACTAGTTCGATAGTTGCGCTCACCTGAGTTAAGGAGTTCTCATCTCCGTGAACAGAGGAACATCTCACATCATCAATATCTTTGACTAGTTTTCTGTACTTAATAATGAAGTCCTGAAACAAATAGAGGATGAATATGAACACCTAGCTACGAGTATTTGCCAGAATTGTGATAATGTAACATTTCAGTAATAGTTTAAAAAGAAGATTCATCCTTTTACTGTTCTCATCAAAACTTTCTGTCATGAGCATTGAGATGATTATCTTAAACATTGTAAATTATTCAAGGATATTTGTGTTTCAAAAACAGAGTTATAATTATATCTATGATAACACACCATAATTAGAAACATTAAGAAGATCCTCAACATTTAGCATGGTGTGCATTGGTGGTTAGCAGGATTCACGACCCATCAGTGCATGGGTTCGATCCTGCTGTGACCCCCTTTTTGCGAGATGATGATGAAAGTGGAGGAATTGTTGGGATGCCACGGAGAAACCGGGGAAGCCCCGGAGGAAAACTACGTGATGCCTAAACCACGGCCTTGCCCAACACAAGTTATAAATTCGGGCACTGCCGGGAATCGAACCCGGGACCCCAGTATTACAAGCCTAGCGTTCTAACAGCTAGACCACCGTGGCGGTATCACATGAGGATAAAACAGGCTTAAGGTGGAATTGCCATCACACTATCATCTGTTCTTCCACCCAAGGTCAGCAGAGAATGGTGGACCAACCAAACGCTTGTAAACTTATGTTGCATTCTGTACTTACTTGGAAACTAGGAGTGAAGAAACAGTCACAGATCCAGGGATTGTTCCCCAGATGGACAATGGCAGCATTCCGATTACGCTGCAGAGCGTTATCCAGCGCATAAGTTGGTACCTCGGTGAGCTGGTTGCTTCTGAGACTTAATACCCTAAATTTTAATAACCAGTCTGTACCCTCAAGAGCTTCTATGGAGCGGATGTGGTTATCATCCAAAAACATATCCATCACATTTCTATAGTGTGGGTTGTTAACTAGAGGTTTCAAACTTGAGATCTGCAAGCAAGAAGTTGTCATCTATAGGAAGAAAACTTTTCTAGAATCTGATCACGTCTACAAACTGAACAGCACAATACATGTACGAGATTCTGGATGATTTATGTTTACAGTTGAAACAGATTTCAAGTGATGAAACGAAACAAATTTAATAAATATAAAGTAACGATTGATATTTTGACTTTTGGTTTACATAATGTAAACCGAACTACATTCACGGTGAAGATAAGACGAACTCAGGAAATGCTACCTACAATTAAAATCATAATTTTTTTATTTTCTTGTTTCCTACCTACAATTAAAATCATAATTTTTTATCTTCTTGTTTCTTATATAAAAACTTAAAAAATAATTATATAAAAATACAGTTGTATGCATCACTTTACAAAGGAGTAAACCTTGGACATGTAATTAGATCGACAGTGTCCGAGGACAAGATTCCGAGCAGAATGCTGGACCGAACAGAGGGGAATTAAATAACAGGCAGGAAATAGTGCATAATCGAGAGATGCATAATTTGTAATCTTCGCCAAATTATCACAATGACCAAGTCAAAGTGGATAAAGTATGTAGAACATATTGCAGTAACGAACACGAAAGAGATGTGATACGTGTTTACTGACGCACATAAGGGAGGATGATAATAAAATGTATTTTAAAGAAATAAGAGTGTTGAGGTGTGGACTGTGTTTATTTGGCGAAGAGAAGGGACCGGTGGCATGTTTTTGTGAAGGTGGTAACGAAACTTCAGGTCCCATACAAGATGGGGAATTTCTTTACCATTTTAATTACTGTTAAAGAAGACTTCTGCTCAAGAGAGTCTCTGTTTTCTCATTGGTCTTCCGAGTTTAACGCCTTGTGGACTGCTAGTATGTTCCTTTGAAATTCTCGTATGTACCTACAAGTCCACACAGAATAACAACTCAATCATTGCCGTTTGTGTGAATGGACTATGATATAATGAAAATTCACCATCAGGATAACCGATTCTTGGTCCAGGATTCCAAAGAGCGCTAACCACTACGTGACAGTATTTGATGATTCTAAAAAAGGCTTAAGGGAGGAGACCGCTGGAAGACCTAGGCTTAGGTGGGAGCAGCGTTTCTCAACCGGGGTTCCCCGGAAAACTAGGGTTCCGCGAGAAATAGTGATGAATAGGCTAATCATATGTAAACGTATTTTTGAGTAATTTTTGTGTTTAATTTCATATTCGTAATTTTACTATACACGTACGACATATTCTTGGAAAATTCTTGGGTATTATAATAAAGTCTTCAACCTGTTATATCATTTAGAAGTATAATAATCATAAGAAATATATTTAGCGACGTCTATACGGCGCCAGTGCGAAACCGCCTATAGTGGTCGGCGTACGTGGCGGATTCACGTATCATCGAGTGACTCACTCGAGTACAGGACGCATGCGCGGTCTCCATCAGTCCAGTCAGTGCTTCCTGGAGTGCAGGTTCGTCTTTACAATGAAATTTTCAGATGCAGTACGAGAAATTGAAAATGTTCCACTTTCAAACAGTACAATAAGACGACGTATCGATGACACGTCACATGACGCTGAAGAGGTTTTTGCGTGATAAACTGAAAAAATATCAGTTTTTCTATCCAGGTTGATGGGTCAACAGATCTTACCAATAAATGTCACGTTGTAGCTTTTGTAAGATTTGTCAATGAGGGTGAAATTCGAGAAAACTTTTTCTGTTGCAAAGAATTGCCTGAGACAAGCAATGTTTCTTTTAACCTTTGACCCATGTTTTGCTGCAAATCGCAACGTTATTTGTTACCTATATCAGTCAAACCAGAATAAAAGCAAGACCTCACCTGATTTCCTTTTACGAGGAGTGTCGTGGTCACCGACGGCAGCTTGTCGGGAAGGTCGATCAGACCCCGATAGCTGCAGTTGATGGTCGTGAACGGCTGCAACGTCACCCCATCTGGGTTGGGAGCCACGTAGTTCATGTGACAGGTACAATTTGTGGGTGGAGCTGTCGGACACTCTGCCTGAAGGGTCTGTTACAAACAAACACAACCATATCCTGGCATCTTGTACAGTACTGTAAGGTATATCACATGAACACAGTGTCCAGCAAATCCACGTCAAACAGAAGGTTGAATATCAGGGGGGGAGGGGCACCGCGGTTGGAAAAATTAAAACTGTATGTGTTCATACACGCATGATCTGAAAGTCACGCAACCCATTTCTGACACACGTTCTATTTTTCAAAATAATTTATACTGAAATGAGAAAAAAACAATGTTATATTGAGTGTTGAAAGTGGCTACCGCGTTCAGCCATACATGCATCCACTCTTTTCCTCATGTTTGATGTAACCCGGTGAAGACTTCTTTCACAGAAACGCTTTTCCAGACGAGACATTGTAAATTTGTGTGGCACAGGATTAGAGTCGGGACATGTACCCCAAAACTCATTCTGCCGAGTTAATTAAGCAGGCGCCACGTCGTGTTCGACGTTACGTCTGTGAAAAAGACATCCTCGCACTTCGATTATTGCAAGACAAGTGACGGGCTGAGAAGCGCAGGTTACAACATGACGTCATCTGCGTTGATTCTCGTGTAGTCACAGCGATATTGTGTGTTCAATAATTCACTCTGATCGTATTGAATTGCAGCCATTAATAAATATTTTAATAAGGGTTTCGTGACCTTTCAGTTACCCGGTATTTATTTATTTATTTGTGGTTAATTTAATGACTCTCACTAGCTGAGAATTTCAAATCTAATGACAGGATCATTAATTAATAATGTATTGTAAAAGATATGAAATTAAGTGGACATGACCTAATTTAAGTTACTATCCTCGAATTTGCCTGGGAGAACTGAGGAAAACCACCAAAATCTGTCAGGAGAGCTGGTCTTCAGATCAAGATTTGAACTTTTGACCACTTTTTTTTATGTGTACACAAATTTAAATCCGTGGATAGATACAAGAAAATACAAAGGCTGGCAAAATTGAATGCAAATAGAAACCAATAGTTGGCGATTGAATTCTATGTATTTAAAATCTAATTTCTTAATTTTGAATGAGACCAAGATTCATGCCCAAATTAAAAAGCAGGCGAAGTTACAATTTATAGTATTTCAATCTTTAAGTTTGTAGACAAAAGAATCTGAGGTGTGTGGTTATTTGCTGCCTTTAATTATCTATCATTACCAGAAGAACACGTGCCTAGCTTATAATTAAGTACCTTGAGCATGCCCATAATGGGCAATACAGGCTTCTTGGGATAAGTTTCGTTGTTACAAATCATCTTGTCACGATCCACCACGCGGCGTACCACCGAACTATTGCCTCCTTCGTCCACCAGCCACGTGAGGTCACTACTGCAGTCCCAAGGATTGCCTGTCAGTTAACATAAATTTTTTACTCATTTAATAATATGCGTATTCTTTATTGGAAGTTTCGACACGAAAATATCATCATCAGGAACTGCCAAGTCCGAAATGTTTCCTAACATACGGCACTGTAGTCGGGGCGAATGTGTCATTTCAGGTTCTCAAGGCACCGTGTAGTCTGGCATAAATTTATCGACGTTTCAGAGGTGTTTGCTACGTCAGTATCTTTTTTCAGACTACATAGACCACTAGACAGCCATGTGCAAGAATGTATGAAATTTTGATTTCATGGCAATGTGGTAAAGAGAAGAATAACTTTCGAAAAAGAACTATTTCTAATTAACTGAAATTCGTGTATTGGGCACAGAACTAAAGTCTGACAAATTTAATCAAAATCCAAACATTTTTAAGGACTTGAAAGACGTAACATTACGTTAAGAACGTTCTAATTTCGTATGTTGTCCACTAATGCCACACGCTCGCCTTGGTTCGGCGGATTTCACATTAACGTTTATCAGCCTTGAATAATTTATCGTTCAATGGTTAATGACATAAAGAGAGAAGGTTCAGTGAAGTGCCAAGAGGTTTTGAGACTGCAGTAATTGGTATCACTCTGATGACGTGTAGACGGTCAGTCCAATTCCCTAGTATTGACCCTTGGCTTACAGCTGCCATGTGACTGCTCTATTTTTTGTATAAATAACTTCAGTTATTTTCCTTGTTCTAAAAATAACAGGACAGTTCCGTATCGTAACGAACTGTGGATGCCATTTTCACTGAGGTTATCAACAACTCAGAAGTGCATTTTATTTACACTGGGAATGTTTATCGTAACACCAGGGATCAAGGATCTGGTCAGCATTGTGCTTTGCCCCCTGTCTCTCGGTGCCAGAAAAATTTCCAAAACAATAATAGAAAGATAAAATGGCTCAGAAATGCCACTGTCGTATAACTGGATGCCTCCACTGGGGTCCTTCAGTATTAATTACTGACAACGACACTTGGGTATGATACAACGAATCAGATTCGTGAAGTATGTCAAGGGACTTACTCATTTAGGTCGTTAAGTAGAATGAAGCGAACTGAAACGAGAAAGAAAGTTGATAGACAACATTTCGCTTTCGCTGTTATAGTTACTGTACCCGCAGGCCTTAATGCCAGGGAGAAATTATGAAAAATGTGCAAGCGTTGTCCAAGAACTGGAGTCGGGAAAGTTAACCATTAAACTCGGTAGGTCTACATTTTCGTAAGCACTAGAAACTAGGCACAAGTCTAAACGGGGCGAAGTTTTAGAATTTCAGCCCGACCTAGCCCGAACCCGAAATTTATCTTTAAATACGGCCGCACTTACATTTATTCCAGCCCGAAAAACTGCACAATAATGTTGTGGAATTTTAATAACAGACTGATAATAACATGCAGGTGTTTTATATAGCAAAACATTTATTTTATATTAATATAAGGGAATAGGAAATATATATATATATAAGGAAATTAATAAGATATCGGAATATAACCTGATCCCAGTGGCCTTTCCACTAATCGATCTAGTGGTGTAGATTCCCTTTGTATCGTCATTACATCTCTTGCTGATATTAAGCAACATCTGTCGATTTATCTCGCACAGCTTAGCATCGATTTCAGAGAGTTCAATGCTGGATTTTGAATTTAGTGGATGTGTTCATAGATCCATCTCTGAAACTTCATCTTGTGAGACAAACATTGACTAGTGAAGATATCACAATCAGTATTTACACTTACAGTTTATTGCTAAGGTAAGATGACTCAAGTCAAGTAAGTTAAGATGAGATTAATTAACGTAGTACAGTTGAGAGACATAAATCTTGTGGTAAAAACTCTTGAAAAGCTGCCTTAAGGAAAACAATCTCTTACTGACACGTGTTGTCTGACGATTTGCGGTGTCCGAAATAAATGGGACAGAATCGTGTCCCTGAAGACGAGTTTTCGTAGCAGCGGTGATTACAGGACGGCTGAATTCGTGTTGTAAGCACAAGAACACCGGTTTACACTAGATAATTGCGGCAGGAGATTTGTGTACTTATGACGTCAGAGAAGAAGTGATTGGTGTACACAGTGCATTCTGCTGTCAAGGGACGAAGAGTGATATCCGTGTGTGTTTATAGGAATGTCAACATCATTAAATTGTACCACACAAATAATGATGAGACGATTGGTGGCAGAGATTTCCCTTATCAACCCTGGCTTCTCTGTGATTCAACTGACTCCAGAGGGCACAGGGGCCCTTTTGAGTATCTGGTAGTTTCTAAACCAGTCAATAAATTTCTAGCAATTCATAGATCGCTACTGTGTTTGCAAGATTTCACCAGTGGTCCCTACCTTAGCTAGTTGAACTCAGTCCGCACACCATTTATTTAGTTCCCTTTTAATATTATCCCCTCTTTATTCAAACCAGCAACTTTAACAGGAATAGAAAAAAGTGCTTAATTAACCACCACGCCATGAAGGCGTATAAGGTAAACGGAGGAATAACTCCACGCAGTCTTAAATTTGGCAACAGATGGATCTGAGTGGTCAGAACGAACAAGATAACTGGATAAAGTAACTGACTACTAGCTGGAAGACCATGGTTCGGTTCCCGAGGGAGTCAGGATTTATCTTTTGTTCTCTCATCCTGGGCAGGATTTTTAAGGCATTCTTTACACTCTGTCGTAAGTGGAGAATAAATTATGGGCCCGTTCATGTCTGTCTGTCTGTCTACCTTCAGCCGAATAGTTCGTGTTTCAAACAATCGGTGCCCTTACGAATTACAGTTTCAGCCATAAAATAACGTCGGAATTGTTGAATGGATTTTCATTAAATTTGGTATGGTAATTATGCTATCTTGGCCTAGTCTGGAATAGAACTTTCTTACTTCCTAAAATTGGCGATGCTAACGCGACTGATGTTCAAATTCGTGAGGTGTGGCGACTACGACGCCTTTACCCATGATCCTCTGCACATTCATCATGACGTCATCGACCGTGATGCATGTAATCTCCAGCGAGGTCTGTAATAACTCGAGAATGGCTGAACGGATTCTCATGAAATTTGTTATGAACGTTATGCCATTCGGGCCAAGTTCAAAGTTGTTTAGGATTTGAGACTTTCGCGGTGAGTACAATCAATAATATCTTCTCGGGCAATCAGCCGAGGTCGGTTTACTACGGTAACCAGTTGACCTAGGTTCATTGCCCGAGAAGATTTTATTGGTTCAAAGTTGTACTTTGCGCTTTCTTTCAATCTGTAATCCCGGAGTGGCGGATGCAGGGACAATTTCCCCTGCCATCACATTACGTAAATAAAATGCAAGATGGCGGATTAATGGGGTTAACGCGCTTGTATAATCCCAGAGGATAAAGAGACATGGATAAACCCAGAAGTAGATGGCAAGATATCTTGAAAATTATAACGAACTCTGAGCACCCGGTCCTTGATTCGGAAGAGAATATAATTCAGCGGTATTAGGTAGGCGCTCCACACACGCTCGCCGCCCTACAAAGTTGTTTTACGTTTCGAAACCTAGACTACAGGGTGACTGTGAAGTAGTGAACTTGGCAGAGATTGCCGGTAAACTTTGTACCCGGTTTCGTAACAACAAGGAGTGGGGTCGCTTTCATGGCGACTCTCGCTTTGCGTGCAACATCCGTTCCTCTTAACGGGGCAAAGGACCCGCCCAACATTCCGATTATGAAACCACATAAACAAAGGGTACTTAACAGCCACGAAACTACGCTATGGCTTAGCCGAAGTTATTTAACGACAATGTTTAAAAGTCACGCAGTTTCGAATGATAAGTTCGTTCTCATGCACGACACTCGCTCTACAAAGACGCACTGGGTAGTGGTTAGTTTCACGGACTTCGGCACTAAATGGAGATAAATGGTTAGTTAGAAGTTTCGGCCGCTTTAACCATCGCTCGCGATTTCAATGTTGTTAATGGAAAACAAAGGTTACCACATGCCTACCGTTCTCCGTGCAATAGGCCAAAACAAATCAGCCTAAAATCAAATAAAACGAAAGATTATTAAAATTATAAGCACGTGGTTATAATGCAAGTTACGTGTTTCTGTATGAAGTTAATACGAGAAACACATAAGCCCATTGTCTGTACGGACTTATACTACTTGTCAGATTTGTATTGGATTTAAAATGGGTGTTGTTCACTGTACATTGTCAAAGTCAGATTTTACGAAAAAACAATTTGTCCTACAACAAATTTACATATTGACCAAAAATTATAGAGCCTATTTAGATGTACAGAATTTATATGGCACATTATGTGATATGGCGAATATTTAATAAAATGCAGAAAAAATTCGGACTTTCTGCAATGTATCTGTAAATGTGTAATCGAAGCAATGGAGTAGATTCGGCAAACAGTTCGTTTATAGCTGCATCGAATGAACACCTAGAATTAAAAGTTGCAAAAATGAGTCTATTCATTTCGCCATGTCTGTCTGTCTGTCCGCACACCTATAACCCTTGAATGCATTTTCCCTAAATTTTACATAGGGGAACTTTATTATTTATTAACTGTCGATACATTTCATTTTGCTTCAGATCAGACGACAACTACGGAAACTTTGCCGAAATACCCACCCTGAAAATTACCCCGGAATTTCACAAGTGACAAATGTCAGGTTCTGGCGATTGGGACACAATAGTTAGGCTACGCCGTGCGTACATTGCCTAACTTGTTTGCTGACAGCAGGGAACGCACGTGATATCGAAGCAGTGCACGCCCTTGGAGCCAGTGGCGAGAGGGTGGCGGGGGGACGGAGGGCAGCGACGTCCATTACACAAGAAATATCGGACGCTCCCCCCACAGAGAGAGAAAGCCCTTTCTTCTGCACGAGCGCTCCGGGGCTTTCAGCCGAAGCTCCGCGGAAACATCACGCCTACGGTAATGCATGCACTTTGAACACATTCCGTTCCGGCGAGCTTTAGGGTTCTCATGGAGGCAAGTCTGAAAATTACTATCGTCTG